AGAGCCTCAAGCTGTCCCCCTGGGTAGAGTGCTATGGCTTCACTGCTCACAGCAACCTCCAACTCCTGGGCTCAAGCGAGTCTCCTGCTTCCACCGCCTCTCAAGTAGCTGGGACTACAGGCACTCGCCACAACGCCTGGCTATTTTTTGGTTGCAGCCGTCGTTGTTTGGCGGGTCTGGGCTGGATTCAAACCGCCACCTTAGGTGTATGTGGCTGGCGCCCTAGCCGCTTGAGCCACAAGGTGCGGAGCCTAAATGCTCATTTTTAATTGTTTTTGTTATATAGAAACTCAGTTGATTTTTATGTATTGATCTTATGTCTAATATAAGGTTCCACAAAGCAAGGTTACTAAATCCTGCCTGCTACTTTTTTTTTTTTTTTTTTTTAGAGACAGAGTTTCATTTTGTTGCTCAGTAGAGTGACGGGGCATCACACAGCTCACAGCAACCTCCAGTTCTTGGGCTCAGGCAATTCTACTGCCTCAGCCTCCTGAGTAGCTGGGACCACAGGCGCCCCCCACAATGCCCAGCTATTTTTTTGTTGTTGCAGTTTGGCCTGGGCTGGATTCAAACCTGCAACCCTCAGTATATAGGGCTGGCGCCCTACTCACTGAGCCACAGGTGCCACCCCCAATGTGATCACGTTAATGATGAGGATCACTAACTTTGGATCCCAGTAGAGTGACACATTAGCCTTGGCTTGGCGCCTGTAGCACAGTGGTTACAAAGCCAGCCACATACACGGAAGTTGGTGGGTTTGAACCCAGCCCTGGCCAGCTAAAACAACAATGACAACTGCAACAAAAAATAGCTAGGTGTTGTGGTGGGTGCCTGTAGTCCCAGATACTTGGGAGGCTGAGGCAAGAGAATGGCTTGAGCCCAAGAGTTTGAGGTTGCTGTGAACTGTGATGCCACGGTATTCTACCAAGGGTGACAAAGTGAGATTCTGTCTCCAAAAAATCAAAAAAAAGAGTAATAGTTTTATTTCTTCCTTTCCAATTATTTTACCTATTTTTCTTCCCTTGTTATATCTCAATCAAATTTTAGGGATTGAGATTTTTCTCAGTCTTCTAGGTGATTAGAAAGAAGCTGGCCTGTAGTCCACAAAAGGTTTAGTTTATTCTTAGGGCATAGCCCTTCATTTCCCTAGCTTATATTAAATGATGCTTTCTATCTTGGGATGGGCAGACACCCTCAGAATAAGAGTTGACTTAACTCTGGATTTCCATCTTCTTCATATTGTGATTGGATTATCTTGTACCTCCTTATTGCTTCTCTGATTCCTCTAGCAGATTGTTAAAAATATTTTGACTGGGGGCGGTGCCTGTGGCTCAGAGGGGTAGGGCGCCGGCCCCATATGCCAGAGGTGGTGGGTTCAAGCCCAGCCCCAGCCAGAAACTGCAAAAAAAAAAAATTTTGACTGGGCCAGGCCCAGTGACTCACACCTTTAATCTTAGCATTCTGGGAAGCTAAGGCAGAGGGTGGCTTGAACTCAGGAACTGCAGACCAGCCTAAGCAGAGCGAGACTCTGTCTCTACTAAAAATAGAAAAATTAGGTGAGCTCCTAATGGGCACCTCAGGTCCCACCTACTTGGGACTAAGACAAGAGTATCACTTGAACTCAGAAGTTTGGGGTTGCTGTCAGCTAGGCTGACACCATGGCACTCAAGCCTGGGCAACAGAGTGAGACTCCATCTCAAAAAAAAAAAAAATTTTTTTAAGGCCAGGCTCAGTGGCTTATGCTTGTAATCGTAGCACTCTGGCAGGATGAGGCAGGTAGATTGTTTGAGCTCAGGAGTTCAAAACCAGCCTGAGCAAAAGCAAGACCCCCATCTCTACTAAAAATAGAAAAACTAGCTAGGTATTGTGGTGAGTCCCTATGGTCCCAGCTATTCAGGAAGCTGAGGAAAGAGAATTGCTCAAGCCCAAGAGTTGAAGGTTGTTGTGGGCTATGACACCACAGCACTCTACTCAAGATGATAGACAGACTCTGTCTCAAAAAATAAATAAATAAAAATAAAATTAAAAATATTTTGACTGTCTTTTCTATTTCTTTCTTTCTTTTTTTGAGACAGAGTCTCAAGCTGTCACCTTGAGTAGAGTGCTATGGTGTCATAGCTCACAGCAACCTCCAACTCTTGGGCTCAAGAGATCCTCTTGGCTCATTTTTTTCTATTTTTTGTAGAGATGCAGTCTTGCTTTTTTTGCTCAGGCTGGTCTTGAACTCCTGAGCTTAAGCAATCCACCTGCCTTGGCCTCCCAGAGCGCTAGGAAGTTGTGAGCCACCGCGCCTGGC